ACATATCTGTGTGCGACCGCTTGGTGGCTTTTTGGCGCGCTTTGATTGTTTCGATTCTCTGATTGGTGGAGATTTCTTTGCAGAGTCAAGGGTGATGTAGTTTCTATGGAAGCCCGTTTCCGCCACTGAATAAAAAATAAGAGAGGCAATTGCGACTTTTTATCTCACAATTCTGACTTTCTTTCTCAGAATTGCATGGTATAAACTGGCAATTGCGAGACATAAAGTCGCAATTCTGAGAAATATAGTCAGAACCGAGATATAAACTCACAATTCTGACTTTTTTTCTCGCAACTGCGAGTTTATATCTCACAATTCTGACTTTTTTTCTCAGAATTGTGAGATATACACTTGCAATTCTGAGAACATGTCAGCCCCCCCCCCCTCCTCAAAATTGGACTTTAACTCGCAATTGCGAGTTTATATCACGCAATTCTGACTTTATAACTCGCAATTGCGAGTTTATATCTCACAATTCTGAGAAAAAAGGTCAGAATTGTGAGATAACAAGTCGCAATTACCTTTTTTAATTTTTTATTCAGTGGCGGAAACGGGCTTCCATAAGTTTCCACCCGGAATGTTAAGCTCTATTATTTAAGTTGACTGATGGTTTCAACCAAAGCATGTGCCATCGATTAACGACCTCTTCTTCTTCTTCTTCTTCTTCTTCTTCTCTTCTGTGGATTACTGGTCCACTTTTGTTGCCATTTCCAATTGCAAGCTTCTTTAACTATAATGTTCCCTTCCATTCTGCTTAATACAATTGTAATAGACGGACTGTTCAATATAAGTGCTTCTTTAGCGATTTTAACAGATTGATCGTTTCCTGGTATAGGTATATCAACATGTGCTGGTACCCATCCAAAATTAACTCCAGCTTGTCTTAATCTATATAATATATTCAGTGTTTCTATGAAAATTGATAAGTGATGCCATTGAATTTGAACAAATCACAACCTTACTTGGCATCATCACTTCTTCTAACCAAGATCTGAACTGCAATTCTGCAGTGTATAGGCTATACTGAAGTCCCATCTGTTAACCTTTCATTCTTCCCTCATTTAAATTCTGGAATATAAAATACTGCTTCTGTATGACTATCACTGGGTTTTGTGATCCGTCTGTATATATTGGAAGAAATGCATAACAAATTATTCTGATATATACTTCGATATTAATCCCATTCTGTTCTTTTTGAATACTGTCATGAATCTGTAAATCAACTTCAGGTTGACTGAATAACCACGGAAAAATTGTTACTGTTGAACTAAATGTTATTTTAGTGATATTTCTATAGCCCATTCACTTGCTTTCTATGCAAAACCTGTTCATGCCCAGTTTATTGTCTCCCAACTCTCCCCTATTATTGCTTTTGTAGGGTCATCTGATTTATGTCCTTGTAAATTAATTCAGTAAGCCACAGATAATTGTAGTCATCCTTGTGCATCTAAAGTAGCCTATATCTGCCTGGTCGAAAACCAAACTGATAATAAACTAATAATCCTATGCTCTCTTAAACATAATATAGACGAATAACAATAATTTTTTTCCATCACTGTACACAGGTTAGAGGTCACAGCAATCAGCCTATAATTTCCTGCTACTAAAGAATCTTTCCCTGGTTTGTGAATAGGAATTATAACAAACATGTTTCCAGGATAAGGGCAGTTGTCCTTCCACCCATTTTTTAATAAAAATATCCAATATTTTTAAGTATTACTTCATCCATATGTTTAATCAATAATATAACAATTTCTTTTTTTTTGAAGCAGTACTTCTAACTCTCATTAGCACTCTTTTTAGTTCCCACATTTCAAAAGTAGCATCTACAGCAGTTTGACTATTAGTTTTTTTTAATCTCAATGTTGCTTTAAAATTTCCTCCCTTCTTCTCTTGTAGTTTTTTCTTTGTGCTTTTTTGAAAGGTGTAATCTAACAGCTCAGCTTTTTCACTGCTGTTTCCCATTCCCCTGCTAGAACTAGAATATCCTGATTTCTATAAACACCAACCATCTTAAGGACACTCCATACTTTTCCCAACTGAGTTCTTCTTATTGTAGAGCAAAATGATTGTCAATATTTCCCTTTAGCTTCCTTAATTATCTTCCTTGCCTGTGCCCATTTCCTTTGGCGGATTAATAAGGTTGTTGGTATTAATGTTTTATGAATGCCTTATTTCTTTTCTTAACTGCTTGATGCGATCTTCATCCTACTTTTTCCTTCTGACTTAGGTATTCCTCAGCTGCTTTTACAATAATTGAATCTATCACAACATAAATCTATATCATCATCCAAATTAAGATTCAATATACCATCAATGCATGACTTGTTAAATTCATCCCAGTCAGCTTTATCAAACCTCCACCTAGTTTGTTTGATCTTATTTTGTTTATAAAATTCCATTCTTATAGTACAATTTATTGGAAAATAATCACTCCCTAACGTTGAGTGATCTAAGCGTCCTATTTAGCTTCAGGAACTATTGTCAGATCTAAACAATAAGTTGATAAATCCCTTATATTGACTCTAGTTCCTTTACATCATTTAAACATACTAAACCTTTTTCCGCCATATACTCTTCATCTACCCCTCCATTAATATCCGTACATAAACTTCCCCAAAGTGAATTATGAGCATTAAAATCCCCACACCATATCAAATCCCCAGCTTTAGCTGTTACTATATTCAGTTCCTCCAGTGTTAACTGATGTACGGATTTTAAAAGTTTATTTAAAAAGGATGTTGCTAAAAAGAACATTATTTTGTGTATTTGGTGTAATGAAATGTGTTTATGCGGTTTAAGGTTAAAAAAACTATTTTCCACATACTGTACATTATTGTTTCTCTTCTATGCCCCACCTTTCTGAAACGCGTCGATTTTTACAAAGCTCATCGGTCTGAAAAGCGAGGTGTGCTCTGATTGGCCAGCTATCCAGTGCGTTGTGATTGGTCGAATACCTCAAGCGTGTGGTACCTACGCCCCTACCATATTGTGATGCCTTGTCCGGCCGGAGCACGAGACAAAAACATTAAAAACCCATATAAACGAGGCATTTGTTGCATCCAGTGGGGACATAATTATGGATTATAATGACATATACTCTCTTTTTATGCGTTGCATTGCATCGTGTCGCGTAAACATAAAACCATGTCTGCATTTGTGATCAGAGAAATGACAAACAACAAGTGCTACTCTAATACACCAAGAGCTTGTAACACTCCAAAGAGAAAGGAAAAATTGAAATCGAATCATATGACCCCTTTAAAATGTCTATAAGTTATCGTAAAAATCGCTTCCGCTTTCTTACCCACTTCCGTTTTATGGTCGCAGACAAGAGTAAAGCCCGCCCACCAACACTTCAAGCCAAACCCAGAGCGAGAGGGGGCTGAACCTCACGCAGAATCCGATCTGTCCCGTGCAGAAAAACACTAGAGAGGCGATCTCCTGCTGGAAGTGCTTATTAAAAGATCTGCTCCATATCGGCCCCGAATAATTCAAAGATATCGCCTACAATGGAAGATGGCAGGGAAACAGCTGCGATGAGAGAGCAAAAACGGAAGGATCGACAAATAGGTTGGCTACTACTGAATTATTATTATTATTTAATATAACGTGTTTGCACCGTTGTGTGCGTTGGATATACGCTGCATTCAGTTGGCATATAATACGAACAAGCCATACTAAATGTTTTTGTGTACTGTCTTTAAAAAGATTAAAAATGCATTAGAATATATATAAACATTGGAAGCAGGTCCATGCTCCCTTTTTTTCTTCAGGGTCTGTTATTTTTGAGAGTGCAGCATGGGTGTGTCTTTATGCCCTCTGTGCCAAACTGGGCAACAACAGGTGCTCATACCCCAACGATATTAAAATGAGTTCTGTAGCACTATACAATCCAAGCACTTGTGTTTTCATCAGAACAATCTCCTGTGTTTTGCTGTTTATTTCATTGATTATTTTTGTTGTTTGTTTAGGCTCTGAATTGATCTCACAAAATAATAAAGGTATAATAATGAAAAAATATGATGTAGTATAGTATAATATAGTGTGGTGCAGTATAGTGTAGTACTGAATGGTATAGTGTCTCATAGTAGCCCATAGTATGGTGTGGTTTAGTAAAAGCAGTAAAAACAATTGCATATAAATGTCTAGAATTATTCTGATTATTTGTGCTGAACAACATGCAGTTAAAAAATTGTGCTGGGAAACACTAAGACTTTATTTTGGAATAACCAAAATGTACATTGAATTATAGTGTATTAAACACAAACATAACTTAAATAGATCTACAAATGCATGGAGTTTTATATCATGTTTCTGGTGTTCAAAGATCTTGGCTGTAATGTAAAGGTTGCAAGGTTAGTACCAGGCAGGGATGATTTAATCATTCTACAATTGCTGTGATCATTGTCCTGCTCAATAATCATATCCAGCATTCAATCTTACTTTGCTTTGACTGTCACAGCAATTAATGTAATTTACTCTGGATGGATCTGCTGAAGGAAATGTCTTATCTCTTATTAGGGCTGATGGGCTTGTAGACTAATGGTTTTAGGCCATACATACAGTAGCCTCTTACAGTTACATTTCGCTTTCACAACGAAACACAGCGCCTTCACGACATGGCGGAGGCGGCAACAATACTACAGTGAGAATAAAAGTTACGCCTTCTTTCTTTGCGTGAACATTTGGGCGGCGTTATGCCAATCTTCCCACATCGTGATGTAGACATGTGGGGGCGTGTTAGAATGAGCCGTTTTAGGTAGGCGTGGTTGACTCTTAACTTAAATAAAGAATATCTCTTTGGATTTGAGACTTTAGTCTTTGCAACTTTACAGATCTTCTTTATACACCAAGAGCTTGTAACACTCCAAAGAGAAAGGAAAAATTGAAATCGAATCATATGACCCCTTTAAAATGTCTATAAGTTATCGTAAAAATCGCTTCCGCTTTCTTACCCACTTCCGTTTTATGGTCGCAGACAAGAGTAAAGCCCGCCCACCAACACTTCAAGCCAAACCCAGAGCGAGAGGGGGCTGAACCTCACGCAGAATCCGATCTGTCCCGTGCAGAAAAACACTAGAGAGGCGATCTCCTGCTGGAAGTGCTTATTAAAAGATCTGCTCCATATCGGCCCCGAATAATTCAAAGATATCGCCTACAATGGAAGATGGCAGGGAAACAGCTGCGATGAGAGAGCAAAAACGGAAGGATCGACAAATAGGTTGGCTACTACTGAATTATTATTATTATTTAATATAACGTGTTTGCACCGTTGTGTGCGTTGGATATACGCTGCATTCAGTTGGCATATAATACGAACAAGCCATACTAAATGTTTTTGTGTACTGTCTTTAAAAAGATTAAAAATGCATTAGAATATATATAAACATTGGAAGCAGGTCCATGCTCCCTTTTTTTCTTCAGGGTCTGTTATTTTTGAGAGTGCAGCATGGGTGTGTCTTTATGCCCTCTGTGCCAAACTGGGCAACAACAGGTGCTCATACCCCAACGATATTAAAATGAGTCCTGTAGCACTATACAATCCAAGCACTTGTGTTTTCATCAGAACAATCTCCTGTGTTTTGCTGTTTATTTCATTGATTATTTTTGTTGTTTGTTTAGGCTCTGAATTGATCTCACAAAATAATAAAGGTATAATAATGAAAAAATATGATGTAGTATAGTATAATATAGTGTGGTGCAGTATAGTGTAGTACTGAATGGTATAGTGTCTCATAGTAGCCCATAGTATGGTGTGGTTTAGTAAAAGCAGTAAAAACAATTGCATATAAATGTCTAGAATTATTCTGATTATTTGTGCTGAACAACATGCAGTTAAAAAATTGTGCTGGGAAACACTAAGACTTTATTTTGGAATAACCAAAATGTACATTGAATTATAGTGTATTAAACACAAACATAACTTAAATAGATCTACAAATGCATGGAGTTTTATATCATGTTTCTGGTGTTCAAAGATCTTGGCTGTAATGTAAAGGTTGCAAGGTTAGTACCAGGCAGGGATGATTTAATCATTCTACAATTGCTGTGATCATTGTCCTGCTCAATAATCATATCCAGCATTCAATCTTACTTTGCTTTGACTGTCACAGCAATTAATGTAATTTACTCTGGATGGATCTGCTGAAGGAAATGTCTTATCTCTTATTAGGGCTGATGGGCTTGTAGACTAATGGTTTTAGGCCATACATACAGTAGCCTCTTACAGTTACATTTCTCTATAGATCGGTGGTGTCACACAAATGATGATACTCAAGGTAGGTAAGGTTTGAAAGTAAAGCAATGGCAGTTGTGTTTGTTAATTTCTGTTTTTAACGGTAGGGAAGCGTTCATTTGCTATGTGTGGCTTATCGATGTGGTTGAATGGCTATGAAATGTTGTTAATGTGCTGATAAAGTTCCTTGGTTCATAAGCAAACTAGTGCAATAATGCGTGCACTTCAGCTTAAAGCTAAAAGATTGAGTGTTTTTGCATCTTTGAACTCATTTAACCCATCATTTTTGTGTTACAGTGTGTTAATGGGCATTTGTGTCTTTTTATCTTTTTTTATTGTGTAGTAATATAATAAACGTTTATGCATATGCACATTTGCTTTGCTTTACAGCCTTGGAGAATGCAGACAGTGACATTGGCTTGTGTGGTTGGATCCTGGTGCTTTTCTCCATCCTGCTCACATTGCTGACGCTGCCTCTCTCCATATGGATGTGCATTAAGGTACTTTGAGGTGGTCTTTTCATTAGTGTGATGTCATACATCTGTCATACACCTTTTACTTTAAATCTTTGTATATCAGGGTTCCCATGGTCATGGAAAACCCTGGAAATTTTGTTTTAAAAATGTGAATTCCATGCATAGAAAAAAAGAAGATTGGAGGGGGTGCACCTATAAAAAAAATCTACAAATTGTTAAGCCGATAATTAATGTTTTGGCATTAAATGGCCTATAATATAATATAATAAATTAAAAATAACACTAATCAGACATTTTGAATGCTACAAATGAATTTAGACATCACAACATTATAATATACTGTGTATTCATTTTGAGATTTGCAAAAGATTACATGATATTTTTTATAATTGCAATGTTATTCAATTATTAGTATTATTAAAGATTAATATAAGTGAGAGTTTGATCACAGCAAAGGTAATCTAAATGTAGTTAAGCATGTAATTTCCAGTACTGACTGATATATCTGTTATCAGCTGATACTGATAAATGAAAGAAAAAAACATTACAACCCATATTACACCTATAAATTGTGCATCCCTAAAGATTTTCTAGTTATGTTCCGCTCTAAAATGATTAATTAGCTAGAAATTCCGTTTCATGAGGGCAAACTCTATAAATTCTATAAAGTGATTTTACAATCCTTGTTGGAAATCATAAACAATTGGAAAAGTTGTGAAAATTCATTGGTCAAAAGGTGTGGGTATATTTAAGTTGTGTTGATCATTCCCTTATCCCATATCATAAATTTGTGCCACATTTTTTCACACCAGATTGGAGTGTTTTTCATAGGAAATGAGAAGTCCTATAATCTTTATCTTTATCATCTTTATCTTTATAAGAAAGATGATGAATGCATGATAAAGGTTGCCATTCAACATCTAAATGACATAACTGGGGGCCGTTTTACCTTCTGCTGTTTTAAACTGCTGTAGTTTCGAGATAAAAATACTTCTTGTTCCTACAGATAGTGAAGGAATATGAAAGGGCAATTATCTTTCGTCTGGGACGCATTTTACGAGGAGGAGCCAAAGGACCAGGTAAAAGAAAACAAATCAATATGATTTGATCATTCTGATTTAATCACTGTTAGTGGTTTAGGCATCTCATGTGATAATGATCCTGCTCCTGTTGTCTGTAATCAGTGATCACACTTGTGTTGTGTGTGTGTGGTTAAATGTGACACTTTTTGCAGTCTACTTGTTTGCATTTGTGCTGTGGCCGTCCACCACAATGATGGCTTGTCACAAGTCGAAAAAATAAAACCACTTGTGTTGTAGAGAAACAGAAGTGATCTGTTTTGCATTTCCGCTGACCTGAATAAACCACATTTTTTTCAGGATCACACTAGCATTCATTTGAGTATGCTATAAAGGCACACCTTACTCAATCATATGCAAATGTAATAGAGAAATTGATTATATTCAGGAAATATTTTCCAGTAAGCACATGTGATTTCCTGAGGCGTCTGTAAAAGATCATATTACCTGCAAAGCATCACGTTTTATTTCAGTTGTTTATTTCAAGGGCACATAATGTTCTTGCATAACTTTTCATAGTCTTTACAGTTATATTGTAATAGCTATATAAAAAGGTATTAACGTCAGAGATTGTAATGTCAGGTTGTAACGTCATAACGTGCTCTGTACTCTAGCCTTCTAAGCCATAAAAGTCATTTGACCAGATGTCTAATTACCATCCATTTTGTTTGTGGCCCTTTTGCCATGATGTCACGTATTTCATTGAGGATTTTGGATCAGGTTTCATGCAGTGCTGTGGTTGTTACGGTGATTATGCCATTTTCATGGAGGTTGATCTTGGTGACTGGTTATATTTCTGTTTGCATTTCTTTGTCTTCTCCTCCTTCTCTGTCTATTCTTTATATTCAGCAATTTAATTAAATTCAGACCATTTAACAGATGGGTTCCATCCAACTTGTTTTTATTTTGGACTTGATTTCAGCCTCAAAGTGAAGTCATATTTACTGTTGCGCTGTCAAATTTCACAGGCAAAATCCAGTCATTTGAGTAGGAATCCATGCGATCGCGAGTTTCATCTGAGGGTGAAAAAATTCCTCACACAGATTTCGCTCATGTTCAAGTTGCCGCATTTGCAAACAGAAAGCTGCTTGGTTTGGAAGTGCCTTCGTTGTGAACTGTCTTTCATACATTTCATACATCATACTTTTTTTTTTAAAGGGGTCCTATTATGCTCTTTTACAAAGTCTTGATTTTGTTTTGGGGGTCTACTAGAACAGGCTCTCATACTAGGTTGTTCGAAAAACACATTATTTTTCACATATTTTACATTATTACAACACCTCTCTCCCCAGTCTGGCATGAACGGCTCGAATAGTTCATGTATCAAATGAAGGCCCGCCTTCTGAAATACGACATAAAGCAAGTAGTGCATACACTTGTAGCTGTTATGTATCTTTGTAAGACATTGTAAGCCCTCTTGAGGCACGCGCAAGCCCCCCCCCCGTTATAAAAAAAAGTGGGGTCTCCCAAAGTCCACGGTATAGTTCGAACACTGACCATAGCTAAGGTTTATTCAAAAAAGTCGCTAGGTTTGTCAGTATGAATATTCTATGGCGGAATAGCGGAAAAAAGCCGCTGAAGGGTCTGAAAGTTGCTAAAACTAGTGCTAAAGTCGCGCTCGTGTGTGTGTGAGACGAGGGAGCTGATGGCAGGGGGCGGTGGATATTTGTGGCGGTCAATGTGGATATTGTGGATGAGTTCTTCTGTGTCATCACGTTCTATTAGTTCTACAGCTTAA